GCTCGTAGGATGTATAGCTACGTAAGTTGGAAATTTAATATACTAAGCTGATTTTAACAAAGTTTCATAATTTTGCCTCAACTAACTTAACCTGCCTCACCGATAAATCAGTTCGCATAGATTCACATAGATGCAGGCAAAGAGAAGAGATATGGCTATCTCGACTCTGAGTAGATATATACTCTATATGTTGTCGGAAATGTTGCTCATTCAGTGCGCTACACTTTTCGTTACATCTTTAAATTACCATACCACAGGGCTGCTAATAGTGACTACGTATGTAATTTCTTGACGGTGTGTGCTTGACCAAAACAAAGCCACAGAAATGTAGAAGACTTTTTTTTGCTGTGCCTATTTCTTGTTCAATTTGTGCAGCTGCCTAAAAGAAATGTATTATTGCTCACTTCTCATTCAATTGCCGAGCCCAACTGACGCGTCTCCGAAACAGAGAAACAGAAAACGAATCGCAGTAGAAATTATTTGGCAACTGTTTGCATCTACATGCAGACCGATTTATCTATATGTGTGTGTGTATATAGATCTATACTAATGAATATATATTAACGATCGTCTGGTTAAAACGCGATCCCTGCGCAATTCTTGACGGCAGTTTGTAAAACGTTTGCGTCTCGAGTGGTTCCGTGTGGTTTCGTGTGGTGCTCGTGCGGCTTCAACAAAACGAAGCGAGCGCGTTTTCCGTGTTCAGCTTAACGAGGTATGCGGCCGGATGTTTTCAAATACATTTCTACATACTGTACAGTGAAAGCTCGTTTGAATGTCCCTCTCAAAGAATGCCTAAATAAATATATATTTAATAATAAATATAGATTATACACATCTATTACATTTTTGCTAAGTGTCTCAAATATTAATGATAATTGATTTTGACAAACTACATATTCAATTTGAAAATTCGGAATTTTTCGACTAAAATATTTCATATTTATCGCATTATGGGATGCACTTTTATATAGCATTTTCTATGGCAAAAATTTCTGTTATGGTAAAGTAAAAAAAAAAAATATCAATTAATATTCTGGCTCTTGGCGGAGCTTTCACTGTATACCATACGTAACCTTTAATACCCCTTCTGGCCGGTACACAGAGCAAAAGGTGGAAAGAAGAACTTAAGCTCTTTCTGCTGCTTGTTGCTGTTGTTGCATCGTGATTGCTTTGCTCTGGTTACAGGGAAGAGAACAGCCCTCGTCTTCTACTTGACATAATTGAATTTGCGGGGCAATAACAGCAAAAGGTGTTAAAGGCAAAAAAATAAAAATAAAATAAATAGTGCGGTTCGCTTTATAGTAAATTGACCTTGTCAACACACACACTAATACACAAAACACCACTCATTCGACAGGTTGAAGGCAAACCACTACAACGGCTACAGCTGTGCAACGCATTCTGCAACTGTTGATGCAACAGCAGCTCAAATTGCTGCGAAAGTTTCACCAAGTGACTGCATTACAAGCAAAACGTTAAGAATACGCACCGTGGCCACGGACAACCAACAAAAGTGTATTAAAAGTGCAAGTTAAATAAGTTAAAGTCAGTAGCCATAAAAGTTGAAAGTTAAAAGCCAACGAATAAAGTTAATAGACGAGGATCGAGAGTTCAAGTGCCAAGTGCAAAGAGTGTTGATAACCAGCATAAACCTGGGTAACTTGTGGCTTATCATTAGAGGTAAGTATAGTGTTAACGCCATCCACTGACTGCCAGCTAATCCAACAAAACCAACATAAGCAGCAAACAGTGCCAACTAGTCGCACAAATATTGTTATTAAAAGCCCATTACAAGTTACACTAGTTAACAGTTTTGATTTGAAGCAGCTTCAAGATATTTCTTGTGCTAATAACAGTTTGAGAGTAACAGTCAAATATTGTTTTAATAATATATATAATATAATAACTTGATTTAAGAATAATAACTTACTATACATCTAATACCAAGAGAATCAATCCACTGTGTCAAACAAAAAATGGACTTGAAAATTACTAGAAATGTTTTAACAGCGTTGAAGATTATCTTAAGAATTTGACAAATTGTCAATCAAAATAAATAATGGATATAGATTTTAGCAATTTTAGAAAAATGCTTACGAAATATTGAAAATATTGTAAATTATTTTGAAAACATTCAAAAATAGCTTAAAAGTTGTTATACTAGAAAAATCATCAATTACAAATATTCGATTTTATTCGAAAATTAGTTAACTAGTGTTATCGATCAAAGAGGCAGCTGTAGATAAGAGTTACAAGCATTAACACCATACAATGAGCAGCAGCAATTGGGTCAACCACTTGAAAGTAATAATTAAAGGACACGCCAGCTCACACCGATTATGCAACTGTCCCATTCACTCCAATCCTAATCCCTATCCCTAATGACCTTTAAAGGTATATCGTGTCAAGCGTCAATACTAAAAAAAAATAAAATATATATATATACTCGAATTTAATGTGGCATCAACTTAATACAACTGTTTGGCAACTCAACTGTGCTCATTAAGTGCTATACTCGATTAGCAAATGGATTTAACCCGCGAACATTTCCCTCCGTTAGCTGCATGGCGCTAAAATCGAGAGGCAGCCAATGTCAGGTTCAAGTTCAAGTTCGTGGCCCACCATAAATAGATATATACATATGCACTCATAAATCGTCTCTGACACTTGGCAAGATGTTAAATCAAAGCGAAAAGCAGACAAACGTCGAATACGTACTTAGTTGTAGATCTGTACATGTGTATGCAACTAAACAAATAGCGCTATAATTATCTTAATTATTTTCGGGAAAAAAAGTTGAGTGGACCGGATTGGATAAGAACGGGGAGAACAGACTTTCGTCAGTGCAGTTTGGCACAGTGCTTGGCAGTGCTCGGCTGATGGGCGTACACCCAAATTCAAACGGATCGATGCAACCCGCAAGTTAAATCAACACATATAGCGTATACTTTTTGCCCTATTCTGTTGGAGGTCTGCCCAAACGATAAATTTGCGGAGGAGAGCAGGGGGAAATTGCTGAACACATGATTTACAAAATGACAGGATCGATTGGCAGTTGACCTTTAACGCAACACATCCCTGCTCTTGAACTTGCCACTTGCCACCAAGTACAATAAACAAAGACACAAACAGTATTCCATGCTCCACTGCACCCACAAATAGTTGGTCTCTTTTCAAACTATTAATAAGATAAAATTGCTATTTCTGTTGTTTGGGGACGAAGCTCAAATACTCTGGCAGACATGTGTCCCCTATAGATAATTAATCACGACAGACATTTTGCCAATCTGTTGGGGGTAGTTTGAAATGGATTCCGAATCCGAATATTTGCTTCTCTGAAAGCTGTATAAACCATGAATTTTATTATCGACCATTTTTTTTGCATTTGCCAGCAAAAATGAATCGATAAAAGTTTTCACAAAAATGATAAATTTTCAAAATGTTGATGCTGTTTAAAAGAATAATATTTGTGTAACGAAGAGTTTCCAAAAAATAATTCTTAGTCAATCGTCAGCTCTATGGAAGAAACATTTTCAAAATATTTCGAAAAAACAACAAATTAACTTATATATATTAAATAGCGTTCTTCCCAACGTAGCGATTTATGGTTACGTAAAAATGTCTTCCTCAATTCGTGGCGAAGCAATAAAAATCATCAGCACAAATCCATAAAAAAGCGATTAGACGGTTTGAGGTGAAAGTAGCTATTTCTAAGCCCTAAGAAGTTCCTGACTACTAGACAACTGTACGTTCAAAGAGTAGCAATCGAGTCCATGTGTTGTGGTTGGAAATCCAAGGGGTACATCAAAAGACGTCATCGGCTTGCTGGCTAATCAATTCTAGCTTGGAATTTTCCGCTTCATGATAATGATTGGTGAACGTCAAACAAACGAGCTGCAAATGCGTGATGTCTCCTCGCCTTTCCGGCCCCCTCTGAAAAGCACACCCCTCACTCCCTTAGCTGTGCTGTCCCAATTTGTGGCTGCCGGCTTTTTTGTGAGCTGACGCCATAATAATGAGTGTGAGAGTCGTTCACTCTCTTATGAGAAGCCAAGCAGTGAGTTATTATGGCAAAACTTCGCTCTCCGTGGGCAAAGGATAAAAGCACGCGACTGTCGAAAGAGATGCGCATTCACTAGAGCAGGCTTGGAGTCGACACAACGTGCAAACGGAAAACGGAAACGGAAAGCGAACAAAAAAAGAGAAAAAGAATAGGAGACAGACAAGAGGAGACACGCAGAGAAAAAATTTCAGTAGTGAAAACGAAAGCAAAAAAAAGTGCAATCAACTTTAAATAAAAGGTTAAAGAAAGTGAGGCCAACCAGCTCTAGTAAAAACCCCCTGACAAGGTGTCAGCATTGTTCAAGGAGCGAGCAAGTGACACAGATTTCGCATAGAGGAGCTTTATCCCAGTGGCTGTCTGTAATATCGATTAATTTGTGAGAGGACTTCCGGACACCAGGACTTCAGGACGCAGCTCGTCCAAATTCTAAGCGAGGCAGCTGCATTAAAAGCCACAACAACGGAGCCATTTAACGAGCTAGATTTGTTGTTAGGCGCTGTCCGAGACGACGCTAACAGTAAAACGCAGCGCATATTAACGCTCAAGAAAACAACGCCACATCGGTAGAAGCGAGAAGCAGCACAAAAGGACGAGCAGCAGAAGGAAGCAAACAAAGCAAATGGCTTACCTAATTAACATACTCAAGTTCAATGTGAAGTACTTAAAAAATCAATAATTTAACAACGATTAATACGCTCGATAAACAACTACTAAAAAATAGAAGATATCTCCCGAAAACGCGCCCACCGTCATCCCATCCATCCCTCTGCCGCTGCCGCTGCTGTTGCTGTCTCTATCACACATTACTCTAGCTGTCTCGCTCACATATTTGGCGTCTGTTGCTTGTTGGTATTTGTTGCTATTCAGCTGCACATCCATTTCGACTTTGGATTGTTGTGTGTGGTGTCGTCTGTGTGTGTTTGTTTTGTGGCATACCATGGAAAAGTCGGAGAAATTTTCAGATTACCTCTTCGCCAAAATGGGTCCACCGAATATGACGGCCGCCGTACACGGCACCGAGCTGCCGCCGAAGACAACGGAACGCAGCGATGCCCCCATCGAGCTGATCGGCTATCGCAAATGGCTAAGCGACAATCTCATGCTACTGGTCACCCTCTCGGGCGTCCTGCTCGGCGTTATTCTAGGTGAGTGGTGACCTTGAAAAAGGGGCTGCTTTTTTCTATACACTGTTCCTAAAAGTTATAAAGAGTTTATATTTTTTTTGTTTTTGCTTTATTTTTTTACAATCCATACCTACTATGTATTCCATATTGGAAAATATTTTAAAATGATTTGTATATTCAGATTGGAAAATATTTGAAAACATCTTGCATATGGAGAATAGGAGATAGATTATATTTAATAGATTTTACATAAAATCCAGCGAAATATTCATTTGTAATGTATGTGTTAAGAGCTACTTTTTATATAAATTGAATTGAATTTTTTCTTTATTGATTTTTGATTTATATCATACATTTTTAACTTAAATGAAAAAAGTTAAGAATTCAAAACATTTTGTTAAGCAAATATTCACGATATGAAAGAGGTCTACAGTTTTTAAATTATTTTTTTTTGTGTTAACACCAGCTTACACCTGGAAGCAGAGTGTTGCGCAGTCGGTCCTGTCCATCTTGTTACTTACAGGTTGTTGTTTTTCTTTGACAGGCCTCTCGTTGCGACCGCTGAATTTGCACGAGGACTCCATCATGCTGATCTCGTATCCGGGCGAGTTGTTCATGCGTGTGCTGAAGCTGATGATTCTGCCGCTTGTGATTTCTAGCCTGATTGCCGGCTCGGCCAGTTTAAATGCCAAAATGAATGGGAAAATTGCGCTGAGAACACTCGTCTATTTTGCGTCGACATCGTTGTTCAATGCCGCGCTGGGCATTGCTCTGGTCCTGCTCATTCATCCTGGTAATCCGGATTTGCACAATGCCGATGATCGTACATCTGATAGGCGGGCAGTCAAATTACTTGATAGCCTTTTGGATTTGGGCAGGTCAGTTCAAGATTTAAAATAAATCAATACAAAAAACGCGTGTGAATCGCTCGAAATTGCACTGCTTGCCAGAAGCAGTGGACGACAGGCAAATGTGCTTTATCTCTTGCTTACTGCTTGAAAGTGTGCTGTGAACTGCTTAACGCTTGCTGGCTTTACATTTGCGAACTGCTTGCATTGAGTAGTACGGTTTTGCACTCTGTTGGTTTTCTCTACTAATGCGAACTGCTTTACAGAAATGTGTTTCCGGACAACCTGTTCCAGGCATCAATTCAGCAGGCGCATACCGTTTACCTGCCCAAGCCTAGCATGCTGCACAGTTCCAACGAGACTGGCAACGATACGACAACAGTGTTGACTAACAGTGTAGAGGCTCAGCGACAGCTGCAGGCACTGGAGGAGGAGGAGGTGGTGCTGGTGCGGGATATTCAGTATCGAAGTGGAACGAATACGCTCGGAATTGTGTTCTTTTGTCTCGTATTTGGCACCGTGCTGGGCACAATCGGTCAGAAGGGACAGGTGGTGGTGGACTTCTTTGCGGCCGTCTTCGAAGTGATCATGAAAATGGTCACATGCGTTATGTGGCTAACACCGGTGGGCATCAGTTCGGTGATTGCTGGCAAAATACTGAGTGTTGATAATCTGAGTCTGGTGATGGCGCAGCTCGTTTGGTTCATCATCACGGTGGCGATCGGTGTGATTATCTACCAGTTCGTTGTGATGCAGTTCATCTACTTTGTGTTCGTGCGCCGCAATCCCTTCAAGTTCTACAAGGGCCTCATTGAGGCCATGCTAACTGCATTTGCCACCGCATCAACGTAAGCCATTAACAAAATCTATTCTCTCTCTCTTTGCTCTCTTTCTCTGTTTATCTCTCTGTGGAGAGATATATGAAAGCCCCACTGTTTCTCTCTCTCTCTCTCTCTCTGGTTGATAATGCGAACGTTTAACATGCTACAAGTATTTTTCCTTCTTTTTGGTTCCCAAATCGTTTGATTTCCTATTCGTTTTTCTTATGCAAAAAAAAAAACAAAACTCTTTTGATTTGAAAATTCACCAAACTCACCACAACACAACCAACCAACAATAACAACAACAACAAACTCACCAAATCAAATTCGAATCCGCAATCGTAAATTGATGTGGCAACGCGTGCAGCGCCGCCGCCTTGCCGTTAACATTCCGGTGCATGAACGAGAAGCTGCGCGTCGATTCTCGCATCACACGCTTCGTCCTACCGATTGGCTGCAACATCAACATGGATGGCACCGCCCTCTTCATTGCCGTCGCCTCAATTTTCGTTGCTCAGATGAGCGGCATGGTTCTCGGCTTTGGTGAACTTTTGACCGTGTTGCTCACCTCCACGGCTGCGTCCATGAGCTCGGCCAGTGTGCCGAGTGCTGCGCTGGTGTTGCTTCTTGTCGTCCTCACCGCTATCGATGCCCCCGTGCAGGATGTGAGTCTGCTCTTTGCTGTCGATTGGTTTGTGTAAGTACTGGGGGAGGGGATTATGGATTATCCCAAATATAGTTTTGAATTTATAAATTCTGATTTAAAGTGATCGCATTCGCACCACCAACAACATGCTCGGAGATTGCTATGCCGCCGCCGTCGTTGAGGAGCTGTCACGCAAGGAGCTAATGGCTCTGGATGCCGCTGCTGTTAATTATCATGTAAGGACCTTCAGTGTTCAGCTATTAGATGTGCCCCTTCTATATAATTTAATTTAGGACATGGCCGTCAGCACACCGAATGGCCATCATGGTGGCCTCCTGGAGGGACAAACCGAACTGGAATCGCCCGGCAAGTGTCAGATGTCAGATGCTGTCGTTGTGGATATGAGTGCTGTAATGAACAATGTGAATCTTCAGCAGGAGCAAAACAATCGTCGGGTCTAAGCGACGACAGAGAGAGAGAAATGGATGTTAAAGAATTATCTCTAGCACGTAGACTACCACCAATAGGCCACAGTGTTCCCCCAACAACAACAAAACCAAAACAATAACAAAAACACCTTTTGATAGACTTTTTTTGATTTTTGATGAAGATACAAAGCAAGACAAATAATATTATGAATCCAACTGTTTAAGAGACTGTCCAAACATAAATTGGTATATGAGTTGAGCCCACCCCAAAGAACAAAACAAAAATATTCTAAATATGCCCACACATATATGTATAAGTGTGTGTGTATGCACTTGTATACTTACTTGTATTCAAAGTTTTTAGTATTTTGAGCGCAGTTTTCCATAATGGTCTGACCAAAAAATATGTCAATATATCAACAAATTAAACAGTTACGAATATACACACGATTCAGATCGATGATTATCATAGTAGATATACAAGTAGTAGTTGCCACTTGCAAGATTCATATGTACAACACATATATACATATTTAAATGGATCAATTAATAGGCATGAAAAAAAACAAAAATAAATATATATATATATATATATATCAAGTAGTAGCAACAAAATATTAATTATATGAACAAAACATTTTTGTGATGTGTTTTAAACTACAATATATGCATAATGTCAATGGGTATTATTTTGTAAGAGTGTCGGATGGTCGGCTAGGTGACCTATTTTTGTGATTGTGTCATTGACGAAAGGTTTATAATAATTACTTATCATTTATAACCCTTTTCCTATACAATAGTTATATTCCTAAATATAGTTACTGTTTCTCTGTTTCTCTCTGAATATAAATCAATTGTAAGTGCAAATGCGCAGGTTGTAAAACGAAGTTGACCTAGCTCTAGTTTTAGTTTCGATTTATGTATTTGTTTACCACTTATGATTATTTATACACATACCCACATATATAAATATATATCCCCAAATGCATACGTAGACTGATAGTAGACTTAGTGTGATTACTGAAACATATAATTACTAAAAAAAACCATATATCCAACATTCAATTTGTACGCATAAAGCAGAATACAATAAAACGAATAAAACAAGTTATCAATCTATATTAATATCTGTGTTATTCGATCAATCACTTTATGTTATTGGAACTACAGCAATATCTATATTATTCGATTCGGTTGCTTTCAGATCTAATATATATATATAATGTGCATTCCAACATCGGAGAACCTTGATACCTGATAATTTATGGATACTTAAGCTAGTCCATATACATATTATCCGGCTTTACTCGAGCTTAGCTCTTAACCTTTAATATTTTATCTGTCTTTTACTTTTATTGAGCTGTCACAATTAATTTTAATATCTACATTTTCCAATTCCACACAGGTAAGTTCGCTTTTAATATGTAATTTTTTGTACAGGTCGGTGAATATATATTTATTTTATGTACTAAGAACTCATACATAAATGCATACATATAATATAGATTTAAGCCATTAAGATTCAAAATGTATTTACTTTATCGAATCAGTTGATTTATCGAAACATTTATTACGCAGTAATAGCAATCCGCACAAAGGGTTTGATTTCGACATTTTGATTAGTTGCAACGCTAAAACGGATATTTGCCTATCAACATGGCCATAAATCGTTCAACCGAACGTTCTATTGATCTGCTGCTGGCTGAATGAGTGTATGAGTGTATGAATCATCTATCAACTTTATTCATTATTCATAATTCAACGCCTGCACGGCAAAACGCTTCAAGTGGTTTTTACACCAGCAAACCAAATCGGGCCTTATATAATTATATAGACCCCAAGTTGAATTTACTATAAAAATACTTGAATGCAAATGGAGCAGACGACGATTCTGAGTTCCAACCAGAGATAAGGCGATTTCACTCCACGTCGACTATCAGCTGTGTGTGTGCAGCTCTTTGCAAGATATGTCAGGTGTCAATCCACAATTCACAATACACACTCATATACACATACATATGTATTCATGTCGACCCAGAGCAACTCATAGACTCGTTGCCGGCCTGAAAAGCACTTGAGGCCAACTGCGATCGCAGGTGAATGAATCAAGCACTGTATAAACAAATGTGCTGCAAACACATGGCGGCTATATTTTTGCATAGAGTACTCTGGGTAAAGGGTATTTTTATTTTGTTGCATCATACGTAACGTATTGAGGAAATTTAGTATATAAGATGATAGATGATCTCTTATTAGATATATATAATTTTACCTTCATCGCATATTTTGACCTTAAAGCTTATGCAATTTTATCGAAATCACACTACTAAAAATTGAAATTGACTTGTTGTAGGAGAAAGTTTTCATTCACAAGGCCCTACACCCCGTGGTGAGCACGAGCCATAAGGCCTTAGTCTTAGATAATCATATTATTGGCCATAAGTGCAGTTGGTCATTGCCTATTTGTATTTTTTTTTTGGCTATAAGTATTTTGTCCATAATCGACGTAAGCTTGATTATTAATTGCTTCCTAGCCTTAACCGAGTTTAATCATAGTCAAAATACACCAAACATTACAAATTTGAATTTTTTGCGTAGTATTCTCTGATATTATGGATAATATATGAACTGACTGTATATATTCCCTCTGTCAGAAATCGGTCAAATGTTCCTTTTTTGAGCAAAGAATATACGGTTTAACTATCGGTTACGAATATTTGACAGAGTTTCAGCTGAGATCCGCTTGCTATATGCTTTAGATATAAAGTATTATGTTGATTGAAATGTCTGCAAGGGTATTACATTTTGAGTAGTCCACAAAAATGCCCATATGCATTAGTTCTCAATATAAAGATGAAAGACTGAGCGGTCTCTGTGTGTGGTGGTGCTGGACCAATGTTGTGGTTGTTTCATGTGGTGCTGTGTGTGGTGTGGTGTTGTTTCGTATCAAAATTGTAGTCGCACTCAAAAGTGCGCAATTGCAAGCCCAACTGTCGGCTCTCTGGCCCCACCAGCTGTCTCGCTGTCTATTTGTCCCACTGTCCCAGCTGTCCACCTGTCCCACTGTGTCTGACTGGCTGACTGCTCTTGTCGCGTTGGCTGTTGGCTGTTTTCTGTTCGCTGGCGTTGGAGTGTTTGGCGTCTGAAGGTCTACTTGGCAGCAGCTTTGGAGTGTGTTGGCGTTGCTTTTTCGCCGTCGTCGTCGTCGCTGCTGCTGTTAAAATGAAATACGAGTGCAAACAAACCGCACAACTGCTGCAATAATGCAAAGTCCGTTTAAACCCTATACCGTATCTGAAATACTCTTTCGCATTATTAAATTCTGAGTGTGTAATTCCAAAAATGGTTGCAAATCCCCGATAGAGTCTTAAATCTAGTTGAGCTTGCAACAGAAACAGTTGAAGTCAATCAAATATTCATATTATCATATTCATATTCATTCATTATCTATTCATTATTTCATATAACTGAGCAGCACCGGGCTTTCACAGGTTTCAAAAAATCATCCAGTGATTTATAAAAAGCATTATTGTCTAAATTTTGTATACTTACGACGAATGTAGTTGATATCATTTTTTTTATAGATTTTTTATTCACACAACACAGCAAGTATATAAGTGAATGCTAATATAATAAACATGTAACGAATTCTGTTAATCGTGACGAAGTCAAAGGTCCCGCTATGTGCAGTGTATATTTGGCCGTAAGAGCTGTAGATCGAGATCAGTCAGATTGCGGCTGCTTGCGGCGCAGTTTAAAGAATAATGGGACCAGCAACATATGTGGAAAATACATACATATGTGACTGGTTAAACTCACGATATTTGTATTTGTGTTGACACTTGGCTCGAATGTGTTAAGCGTAAGTAACCATCTAAAGCGAATTGCAATCGTAAAGTACATGTGCACCAACCAGTTGCGAACATTTGCATAACTGCAGCTAATTAATTCAATTAGAAGAGAAGTCATAGCTATGAAAGAAAAAAAAAATCTTGCATACGACGATTTCACTTTCGTGGTGAATGCTAAAACTGTTGTCCAAGCTGAAACTGAATTGGCCTGTGGAACCTGATACCTCTCCCAAGTGATTGAGCGTTTGCGGAAGTTGTTTTCGTGTTGACAATTGACAGCTACCTTATCTCGAAAACAGACGGATGACGATTGCCCCGAACAGATGGCAGACAGATAGTGCTGCTAAAGACTCCATAATTGATCGCTCTTATCGATCGGTTACAATATTTTCGTATTTTACGGGTGCTTAAATTCCCATTTTCCATTGCAATAAATTTGTCATTTGCTTTGCCAAAACGATTTTTAAAAGCAATAAATGATATTATTTTTACTTTGCAGTAACTTCGTCGAAACTGAACCAATTTTCAAAAATGTGGAATTTCTTACATTTAAATTTGAAAACAAGATTTTCAGTTCAAATACATGCTCAAATTCTATTTTAAGAAATCACATTTTGTCTACAATTTCCATTACATTTCCATGAATCCGATTTGCATAAGCAATTTATTTTTAAACATGGGTTGGCTTGATCAAATTCAACATTTAAATTTGCATGCTTAATGTTCTATTAAATTGTTTATATAATTACGTAGCAATTAGTAGCCTACTAAAGCTTGTTTATTCTAATCCTATTGAGATATTTAGATAGAAACACATATTGTATTGATAGTGTCTTGATAGATCGATGCATAGATATATGGATAGATTGCTGTACTAATCAAACTAGACGCCTAAGTTGTTGCAGCTCGTGGAGAACAGCAACAACAACAGCAACAACAGCGGTAACAGTAACATGGACACGGACAGTTTATGGGCAATCTGTGCGCGCACACAGCTCCTCTATAAATTTGCAATCAACTTTTATCAGCAGTCTGGGGGCCTCCAGAACGTGCCAGCGCTAACGTTTCTATTCACACGCCTAAGACTCGACTCGTCGCGATCCCGGGAATGGGAGCGGGAACGGGCACGGGTACGGGTACGGGAACGGGAACGCGATTTACTTCATGGTGTGACTTGAAAGAGATTTTTCAACTTCAACTTCAGTTCGAGATCGAGCTGAGCTGAGCTAAACTGAACTGCAGCTTTTGCTGCTGCTCTTTCAGTGATAGATTGGCCCACATTCGTTGTGAGCCGCGTTTGGCTGCCAATTT